AGACCATAGGGCTATGTCTACACTCGCGGCTTCTTGTGCGAGTAATATGCAAATGAGGCTAACCGTGGAATATCGTCAAGCCTCATTTGCATACGCAAGGAGTGTCTACACTGCCCCTTTATATGCAAGAAAAACCCTCTTGCGCAATGCCGTTACACCTATTACTTGAGAGGAAGAACGGCATTGCACAAGAGCGTTTTTCTTGCGCAAGAGCCTCTTCTGAAAAAAATGGTGGCTCATTAGGTATGCAAATGAGGCAGTAATATTCCACGCTTAGCCTCATTTGCATATTACTCACGCAAGAAGCCATGAATGTAGACATAGCCCAAGTGTGCTTTTTTCATCCAGATACTCCTCTCCTAACTGATTGGAATATCAGAATATAGGCCAGCATATTACTATGACTATCTCTCTCATGGTTCAACATATCATCAATATTGACAGCCTGCATATTGCCCACCCTGTTGCCTCGGTCATCCATCCACATGCAGACCCACAATCTCTCCCCAGCCAGCTCCTAGGCAAGTCAGATGCAAAAAACAACCCCTCCAAAAAAAAAACAAGCTTCACTAATGAGGCCCCAATTGTGCTGGTGGGGGCAGGGGACAGAGTGTTGGGGCAAGGTGCTGGTGGATGCTGGGGCAGGGTGCTGGTGGGGGAAGGATCTGGCTGGGAGAGGGGACAGGGACAGCTCGGCCAGTACCTGGGGATCCCAGGTCTTAGGAAGCACGTGGGCTGCTTTTCTTCTCCTCTCTCCTCCCTTCATCTCCCATAAACAGCTGGCACGCTTCCTGAAAAACTGGGTCTGTCGCTTGGCCCTTCCCCCTGCTGCCTTCTGCAGGATGTGTGTGTAAGAGTCCTGGGACTGCATGCCAGCTCCAACTTCTCAGGAAGGGTGTGCTCTTCCTCTGCTCTCCATGACAGCCACGTGCTTCCTGAGAAGTTGGAGCTGGCATGCAGTACTGGGATTCCTACTCCCTCTCCCACTCTAACCCAATCCCCATCCCCTTCCCTAGAACCAGGGCTTCCTCCCTGCTCTAAGCCAATCTCCCTTCTCTCCCCTCCCTTTCCCCAGAGCAGCTCCCCCCACTCTAACCCAATCCCTCTCTCCTCCCCTAGAGCCAATCCCCCCCACTCTAACCCAGTCCCCCTCCTCTCCTCTTCCCCAGAGCCAGGGCCTCCTCCCAGCTCTAACCCAATCCCCCTCCCCACAACCTTATGCCCAGAGCCAGAGCCACTGCCGCTACCACCATGCGCTGGGGCACGTGCTTTGAGTGGCCAGCTTTGAGCATGTGCTGGCTGGGACACCGGGATACCATGCGCACACTCTCTCCCCAGCCAATCCAACTCCCCTCCCCTTCCACAGAGCCAGACACCTCCCTTCCCTGCTGTAATCCAATCCCCTTTGCCCCAACCTTATGCCCGGGTCTCAGAGGACAGTCGCTGCCGCCGTTCCCCAGGTGCTGGGCACATGCGCTGAGCAGCTGGCTTTGAGCATGTGCTGGCCGGGACTCCGGGACACCATGTGCACCTCCCAAATCCAAGCCCCCACCCCTTCTCCAGAGCCAGGCATCTCCCTCCCTCTGTAATCTTATGCCCAGTTCCCGGAGCCAGACGCGCCGCTGCACCTGTAGGTGGAGGTGCCATCGCTGCCTGCGCTCAGCAGCTGGCTGCTAGCGTGTACAGACTGGAACGCTGAGTGCGACCTGGCCTGCACGTGCAGGATATGACATAGTGTGCTGGGGGCCATGAGCAGAACAGCACGGGCCGTGAGCACACATGCAGCTCAGAGCAGTCCGGCTGTGAGACTGGCTGACCTGAGCAGTTCTGGGTTTGTCCTGGCTCTGTCAGGAGCCGCAATTTTTTCCTTGGCCACCGCTGTTATAGGTGTTCAACTAGACTTGACACAGAAAGAGCATATCTACCATTACAAAGATTCCTACCATTACAAAGATTCCAAGTGATCTAAGACCTCATCATTGCTGTCACGACCAGTCCTACAGTACCAATACTTACCTGCCTCTAGCGCATGGGCCATATGGCCACTACAACATATGTAGTCAATCACACATGCCTACACTTTCGATGTCTCCAGCTCTGCCATGCATCCATTTATATCCTCCTGAGATGACAAGTTTTTCTCCCTCCCACTGCTGAAACGTCCCTCAAGTGGTGGACCAATCCCAGCAATTTTCTGGCAGGTGTCCCATTCCATCGAGACCAATCTTCCACCCATAAAACTACAGAGGCTTCCTTCATTGGATGGGGCGCTCATATGGGCAACAGACCAATACAAGGACAATGGATGCCTCGGAGACTACTTTACATATCAATCTACTGAAACTCAGAGCCCTTTCCAATGCATGCATGCATTTTGTCACATGTATCCAGGATACCACTATCAGAATATTTACTGACAATATAACAACAATGTATTATATAAATTGCCAAGGGGGTGCCCGATCCTGTTCTCTATGCGCTGTAGCAGTCTGGTTATGGAACTGGTGCATCTGCAACAGAATCACTCTGAGAGCTTCATACTCATTAAGCATCAACAACATGACTGCAGACGCTCTCAGCAGGCACTTTGCTCCAGACCATGAGTGGAAGCTCTATCACGAGTTCTTTAGCCCATCTTCCATCAATAGGGTTGCCTGAAAATAGACCTTTTCAGCTCCTACAAGAATGCGAAATGCCAATATTGTTCCAGAGCTGGTGTCAGACCAACATCTCTAGGGGATGCTTTTCTTCTCAACTGGAAAGGACCCCTCATACGCATTCCCTCCCACTCCTCATTCCCAGAGTCCTCGAAAAGATCAACAGGGATGGGGCAACAATCATTCTCATAGCCCCCTTTTGGGCATGACAGACGTGGTTCCCTTATCTGTATTGGATGTCTCCTCAACCACCCTATCACCTTACCAAGTATCATGACCTCTTAACCCAGAACAACAGAATCCTACTCTACCCACAGCCCCATGATCTACAACTGACAGCATGGCTCATTGTTGGTTCCACAGAGGGGAACTCCAGTGTTCAGACCAAGTAAAATATGTCCTCTTGCACAGCAGGAAACAATCTACTCATTCCACTTAGCTTCAAAATTGGTATAGATTCCTTTCATGGTGCTCTGATAAAGCATTGGACTCATGCACAACATCTCTACACAACATTTTAGACTATATCTTGTTTCTGAAGGATGCGGGGTTGGCCCTTACTTCCCTAAAAGTACATTTGGCAGTGATCGCCGCTTTCCATCACTCAATAGATGGTTGTTCAGTGTTTGTAAATCCTTTTACCAAAAGATGTATCAAAGGTCTTTGCAACCTGTACTCGCCACGTTGATTACTACCTTCGGTGTGGAACCTGGAGACGGTGTTGGACACTTTTACCCATGCTCCCTTTGAACCACTAGCTACTTCTCCACTATCAACAATGACGATCAAGGTAGTTTTTCTACTAGCCATTACTTCCACCCGCAGAGTTGGAGAATTGAGGGTCTTAATAGCAGTACCACCATATACCACATTTAATAGACACAACGTCATATTGCAGCCACATCCCTCCTTCATCCCTAAAGTTTGCTCGGATGTCCACATATATGAACCAATCATCCTTCCTTCCTTTTACCCTAAGCCAGACTTAAATTGTTGTGAGGCTGTGCTTCACTCTCTTGACGTGTGCAGAGCACTGGCTTTCTATACAGATAGAACTCAAACTTTTTGCAAATTGAAGCGACTGCTAATCTCGGTGGCGGAATGCTCTAAAGGTGAACCTCTCTCATCGCAATGCACTTACAGACTTATAGTTTCCTGCATAATAAAGTGCTATGCCTTATGGAACAAACCACTTCTAGAAGCACCTAGTGCACACTTTACAAGATCTGTAGCAACCTCCATGGCTTTCCTTTGGAGGAGCCCCCCTCAGAGACACATGCCGAGTGGTCCACCAACAATACCTTTATGAAGTATTATACTATCCCTCAAAGTGGAGCTAAGGTCAGTAAATGGCCTCTGCAGTACTATCAATGGTGATTAAATCATGACTCCAAGACCCGCCTTCCATGTGTTCTCAGGTACTGCTACACAGTCACCAACAGAGGAGCACCCACAGTAACATCACTTGAAGAAGAAGAGGGAGTTACTCACCTGTGCAGTAGCGATTGTTCTTTGAGATGTGTGTCCCCATGGGAGCTCCACTACCCTTCCTCCTCACTGCTTCGGAATCTCCTATTATATCTTCAAGCTATCCGGGTGGACTCGAGGAACTGGCGGGAGCAGGACCACACGCATGATCAAAAGGGCACGAACGGAACAAAGTGTGATCTGCATATTGGCGGTCCGGCTGACTACTGCTAATGAAAACTCCAATCTGCGGTGCTGGGACGACCTGACACCAATAATGGAGCACCCATAGGGACACACATCTCGAAGAACAGTCGTTCCTGCACAGGTGAGTGACTCCCTCTTATTTCGAAATAACGCTGTAATATAGACATGCCCTAACAGTGGGATTAGAGAAGTGGTTCTGAACTTAATTACCATTGTGAACCACATATGCAGCTCCATGTGTTATGTTGGCCAAAACAATATATATATATATATAGGTACTACCTGTATGGCCTGAAGATGTAACATGAACCACAGTTGTGTGCTGATTGGGCTGAAAGCATACTGCAGGTTGAGAACCACTAGACTTAAGAGTTTACTCCTGTTAGGCTGATTTTTATCATTCTTTTTAATAATTGACTCTGTATATATATATATTTAGAAACTTTGATCTAGTAACCCGCAAAACATATTCTTCCAGAAGGGCTGTTGAATGAAGGCAAAATAGATTATAAATAATTTTGGGGATAAAAATAGGTTATATCAGAATGCCATACTTTTATTTAAAAACATACAAACTAGTCTGTTTTTAAACCTGCTTTTATTTTTCTTTAAATATAAATAATGTTAAATACTCTTTCACACATTTTCAGAGCATAAATTAGCCATTTTTTTCATAGTACATACAGCCCTCTCGAGTGAATTTTTTTATATATTAAGAGAAACCATCTTGTCTTGTAACTAGAGGTAATAAATACAGGTAGTGGTAGTAAATATTGAAATAAAATAGTCTCTGTTTAAATTAGCTCTAAATCTTATAAAAATAAATAGACAATATTTAAAAAAATAAATATTTAAAAACAATAAATACGTTTGTAAAAGGAAATCTTAATAAAATATAAATACTTTATGCAGTTACTTGTAGTTCTTAAAATAGAACTACACTGTCATCTGCCACATGACAGATTTTGTGACGAAGGAATGTGCCTGAATTAAAACATTCAAACACTGAGACTCCTGGTGTTTTTCAGATATCGAACAGCCCTCACGGTTTTCTCCATGAATGAAGTAAAGTCCCGGAGGATGAGATGAGTGGTGATTTTTTCTATCCATTTTTTATTTGACTTCAGTTTTGCAAAAAGTGTGTTCTGAGTGGCTGGGTCTGGCATGATCACTGCACCAGGATTTTTCACCTATGAAAAGAAAATTAAAATATATTGGTTACAATACTATAAAATGCTCTCAATGGAAAGGATCTGCCTACACATGTGAAAAATGTAAAATATGCTTATAAGGAAGGAAGTACATGCTTTTCTTTGCTGTACTATTGAGGCAGCAGATAGTCTGACAGGGCTATATAGCCTACAACTTATTTATCCCCACTGTATCCATGTTGCTTGAAGGCATATGCTTTCAGATGAATTGGAGTGGAAGTTACAGAGACAGGGGTATATATATATTGTGTTAATGAGGCTAATCAAGTCCACCCCGGCCCTTATGTGGGTATAGCTTATGTTACACAGGGAGGTGGTTTAATCTCACCCTTAAGAGACCTAATTCATGCTGACTTAAGCTGTAGCATAGTCATAGATTGAGTCCTGTTTTCAATAGTACTTAGACACTTAACAACCTAAGTCCTATTGATTGTCGATGCTATTGAGGCTCTTAAGTGACTATGACACATCTGAAAATGGAACTCAGGTGCTTTTGAAAGTTTAATCTGAATTCTGGGAGATTAATAAAGTACAAAGCCCTGTAACAAGCAGTGTTTGCTTCATCCTGTCAGGATCCAAGCTGCTAACCAAGAAATGCTGGAAACAGTATACTATAAGCTGGAACTTCTATTTTTTTTAATGTTACTTGAATTGTATAAGAAAGGCATGTCCTCTTCATTAAAATGACATAAAGGGATGGAATCTGAGCACACCTCTCCATGGTTACATCTCTGATTCCTTGCCACATGCTGCAGAGTTCTGTGTGGAGGCTTTCTACAGAACCACAGGGGATATGGGAGTGCCGACCTAGCAATGGTTCTATGGATCTACTCGATCACAAACTAACAACAGGTGAGCAACAGACTACAATCT